AAATATATGTATTTTTTTTTTTGGTTCAGTCAGTTTAGTGAAGAGTGAAGATACTAAAAAACAATGTTAATAAATTTTTAATGAAATTGGTTAAAGGAAAAAATGATAAAAAATTTTAAGTTGCGTGAAAAAATTTTATCTGCTCCGAAAAAAATGTAATGCAATTAGATTTGTATTGCGTGTAAATATAAAAAAAACATATACATACATATATTATTTTGTAGTGAAGCAAAAATTTAAAAAGAAATATAAAAAGGTTTAAAATCTGCTCTAACGAGGTTAAGGTCGCAAAAAATTTTTTTCTTGTAAAACTGCTAGAAAATTTTTTTAAGAAGCAACTAAATTTATGTTGCTTGAAAAATTAAAAACTATTATAAGGTATCGAAAAAATGGCTGCTTGCAAATGTTGTTTAAAAATGTATAAACAATATAAAAAAAGATTACCCCATAGTGATGCAAAAACTATACAAAAAAAAATTAAACCTGATGAAAACTTGCTCTAAAAAATTGTATGACAGCGAAAGAATTATTGCTTGAGAAATTGGGTAAATATAATAAAACAAAAATTGTAAAATTTGCTTTAAAATTTTTAATAAACAAAAAAAAATATGCTGCGTGAAAAGTTTATAAAAAATTATAAGGTAGCGAAAAAACTGAGGTATTTCTTACAAAAGTTGTTAAGAAAAAAAAAATATTACTGTGAGGCAATACAAAAAATTTAATATACATTAAAAAAAATTTAAAACCTGCCCTAAAAATTATAGGATAGCTTGAAAACCTTGTTATAAAAATAAATGAAAATTAAAAGTACAATACTTGTAAACAAAATGAGATATTTCTGACAAAAGTTGCTAAACAAATATTTGAAAAAAACCAAAGAAAATATTACTTTGTAACGATACAAAAATTTAAAACAAATGTTTAAAACCTGCTCTAAAAAAGTTAAGAAAGCAAAGGAATTTGTTGTTGCCTTTAAAATTAATTAAATAAAATTATCTTAAAGCGAAACAAATTTTTATTGGGTGCAAAATCGTAGCTAAACCGTTAAAATTGCATTCTATTTTACGTTCAACTTTTAAGATTTAAATTTCTAAATTATAAAGGGATTAAACACGGTCAAAAGAACGCGGTATCCATTATAACGGTAAAAAATGATCGAAAAAATAAAAATCACAAAATAACGATAGAATTTTACCGAAAAATTAAATAAAAACCAAATTTAACGATTATTCTTGAACGAACAAATAAAAATCAAGAAACAACGATTTCTAATATTCTAAAAATAAAAATCTTGGTATTTAAAAGATTTGTTGCTTTTTCTAAAACTTTTATAAAAGTTATATTTTTAAGAAAATGAAAGTGTATGCATAATAAAAGGGAACCCAATTAAAGAGAATTTTTAAAAAATTTCCTTTATTTTTAAAGATTAAATTACAAGCAAAATATGTGGTTGTATTAATGAAACAAAAAATATTAAAAGAAACATTAATTAAAACAAAGTATTAATGTTTATTCTAAATATTAATTAAAACAAGTTTAAGGGAAAATTATTTTTGGGAAATAAATATTAATATGAAGCAACATTTTTTTTTCGAATAAAAAACTATTATATTTGTGAAGCATAGAAAGAGACAGACCTATTTTAGAGAAACCTTGGAAAAGTTGCAATTTGTGTTAAATTTGAATAAAAAATGAAAAAAAAAATCTCAAATGTTTTTATTTTTTTCATACAATGTCATAAAATCATAACAAATAAAGAAAAAACTTTTCATTAGAAACGGCATCAACCTCAATAAAATTATTAAATATAATTTTTATTAGGCCAAATATGTAACAAAAAACCAACACTCAATTTTTAAAGTAAAAATTACTAACAAATAATGAAAAAAAAACTGGAGTAACATAAATTAAAATTCAAATTTAAATAATCAAAAATAAAACTCGAAAATTTTTAATTTTATCAATTTGCATATATTTTTTCGCAAATTAAATTTATAAACTTAAATTTATATTTAAGAACTTACATATTATACCATTTTTTTGTTTTAATTGTAGGTCCAATGAAAGTCTTATATTTTTTAATTCAACAACATTAATTTTACTAAAGGCTTTTTTTTCGTAGCTCAAATAATTAAGGATAATTTTTCCTTACTTAAAGTAAAAAATTTTCCTATGTTTGACAAAATTATGATATAACAATTAATTTCTTAATGATGCTAGAAAAAAAGAAAGGCTTTAATGAAAGAATGTTGAATTAGCTTTTAAAAATATTTAAGGATTTTTTTATTTATACTGTATTTTGGATGTCTAATTTAAAAGAAAATAGAAATTCATACCGACAGCCTGTTACATTTTTTTTAATTTTTTGTAAACAAATATCAAAACGTTAATTTCGAAAAACAAAAAAAAAATTATTAAATTGAAAATTTTAATTTTAATTTTCTGGCTTTATTCATAAAAACAAAAATTAAAAATTAAATTTAAATGGCATTTCCATATAATTTTTAATACATAATTTTAAAACTGCTTTCTGTAATGTGTGCGCATTTTCAATCTGTCAAATTTATTTATTTTTCAATTAATATTGCAATTAAAGTTATCATTAAATATTAATTTTAAAAAATATGACTATTTTGCATTTTTTTAACCTAATTGTGCTTAAAAAAATTACTTTCAAAATAGTATTATTGGCATGATATAGTTAAAACTAAGATATTGACTATAAAGTAGTACCATATACCCTAAAATATAAACATATATGAGTTGAAATTTTGTTTTTTAAAATTCCAAAAACAAAAAAAAAAACATACAAATATAAATAATTCATAAATTTTTTTCAGTTTTTAAAATTTTGTTATGGCCAAGCTGTAATAAATATATAACATTTAGACACCAAACACAAACAAAAGTGGCAAAAACTTAGAACATATTCAGTTAAAATACCTTTGAATGTAAATTCTTTATAAATTCTTAGGTTTTATAGATACATATTCAAATTAAAAACATACTTATAACCAAACAAATAAAAACAGCATACATATATGTATGTATATTGTATAATAAAAGTGTAGCGCATTATATTTTGGCAGGTTAGGGCCGTACTTTTGACAATTTTTTTTCACTTGCGGAAATTAAACAATTAAACATAACCTCCAAACTTAAAATTTTGCAGCAACGAAATGCAAGTGACGAGTGCAGGTGGTTTGAACAGANCTTGAATGTAAATTCTTTATAAATTTTTATAGATACATATTCAAATTAAAAACATACTTATAACCAAACAAATAAAAACAGCATACATATATGTATGTATATTGTATATACGCACATTACGCGCATTATATTTTGGCAGGTTAGGGCCGTACTTTTGACATTTTTTTTTCACTTACGGAAATTAAACAATTAAACATAACCTCCAAACTTAAAATTAATTTGACTAATTTTGCAGCAACGAAATGCAAGTGACGAGTGCAGGTGGTTTGAACAGAAGTTGGATTTCTAAATAAGGTGTTGAATATGAAAAATGTTTGCAATCGGAAAAAATTGCTTAAAAAATATATGTACATAAATTATTTAAAATTTAAAATTTCGTGAAACAAATTTATGTAAACAATTCAAACTGAATGAAAGTCTGTTAAAATTTTGTAAATACTTTTAGAAGTTCTAATTCATGGCATAATTTAGCATCAAACTGCTATGATTTGAACGGGTTTTTTCCGATCAGCGCCTGAATGTAGGCCACAACTTTTCATGCCCTTTACTTCGAAATATTTTGCGCCGATTCAACGGCAATCGAGTCTATTACACTCAAAGCACTGTACTGCCGTACAAATGTAATTTCAGTGTTGCCAGCAACATATTGACTGTCTATTTTTCACCGGCCACTTTTAGGGAAAAATTTAGCTCAACTACATACTATTTAGTTCAGAGCTACTATTTTACTATTTTAGCAGAGATTTTTCGGTTTCAGTTTGTTTGCAGCAATGTTGCGCAACATATACGCGCGACTCGGAAACATGTTGCTGAACAATTTTTTGTTTACATTTCCACAAGGCTGATTGAAAATGTCATTGACAATTTCTCAGACTTATACGCCATGCAGCAGTGTTTGACAACATATTTTTCGGCAACATATTGCAATAAAAATATTGCCTTGGTGGACTTTTGAAATTGCAATACTTACTTTTCGAAATGTTGACATGTCGAGCTACATACTTTTGGACTATATATTGCCTGTGGCATGTTGCTGCTGCAGTGTTGTCAGCAACTTGTTGCTACTGACGAATTGTATTGACTAAAATGTTCGGAATTTCGAAACACCTACTTTTTTTGACATTATGTTACCAGCAGCATGCTGCAGCAGGAAAATGTTACGAGCTTTTAAAATATTGTTCATAGGCATAGAGTCTTTCACAGATTATGTTGATAAATATTACAAGTTGCGCCTATTTTCTCCAAAAAAAGTAGTATTATAGTAACATGTTGCCAGCAACATTAAATTTGCTCATATAAAAGATTATCATAGTTCTCACTGGCATTTGGTTTCATTTGCCGTGTATTTTGAAATAAAACGGCAAATAATTTCCGCATCGCTTTCCGGATTTTCCACTTCCCAAAACCCTGCTAACCAGCCCGCAACATTTGTTGCGCACCCTCTTTTGTCCCAATAGCGCATGTTTCTGCACCACTTTTCCCTTTCCCCTAACGTCGCTAGCCCTCTACCCGTCCCAGCCAACCCTTACCTAGACCTTTCTACTCTTCGCTTCAGACATTCTCCGGCTCGGGCAACTTTCGTTCGCAGCAATGACACACCAACGCGCTGAGCCTCTGCCCCAGCGCCGACCAAATGGTCAGCGACATCGACGACATATTACAGCTGGAGCTGTGTCGCAGCGATCCCGAGGCTGCCGCCGCTGCCTCTTTTTGCAGCATCTGCTGCTGCTGTAGCAGCGCTGCAAGTGCACCGTTATTCGAGAGCGAATTCGTTGTTGTCTCCGAGCTCCCCCGTTGTCAAATCTTCGAGGGCTCATACGAAGACCCACTAGCCATACCTAAATCGATGCTCAAACTTGGCTCGCCCTCACCGAGTTGCGCGGGCGTAATGACACGCGGCAGTCCAGTTGTAATGAGTATCGTATCGCTGGCGTCCACGCTGCCTATGCGTATGGGTGGCGGAAGACAAGTGGGCATTTCACTGCCACCGCCTCCACTGCTGTGTAGCGTATTGTTGCTATTGTTGTCGTCGCCGGTGCCGGTGGTGCCACCGTCGTGACGTGATGACTTGCGACTGCTGTCGCCTCCACCGCCGCTGCTGCTGCTGTAACGCGGATTGCTTGTGTGGCTGCAGGGCACGTCCAGGCTGTAGGCGCGAAGGCGCCCAGCACTTACCAGCTCCGAATGTGTAGGCAGTCCAGCGCCAGCTGCTAGTGACTTGTGGCGCAGCCCTGGTGACTGCAGATTATTCGAAATAGTGCAGCAGATACTCTGAGGCTTGCCAGCGCTGCCACTGCTTCCGAGTAGCGGATCAAACGCGCCACCACCTGCTATCTGATGTGCGCCCGATAAGCCGGTGGTATTGTTGTTACGCGCCGAACACGGCGAGCTGCGTGTGCTGCCGAAACGTTTGCCACCTTTGTCGAAGGAGAAGCCGAAGTAGTCGGAGAACTGTTTGAGCCGTGTCTTCCAGGTGGATTTGGAAATTGTGGCGCCACCGCCGCCATTGCCGCCTAGGCCGTTGGACGTGTTGGATGCCGCGGCGACAGCTGCTGCAGCCGCTGCTGCGGCGCAACAGTGCTGCTGCAATTTCGGTTGCAGCAATTGGGTGGGCGAGAGATTGCCATTCGATGATGACTGCAAGTGCTGCAAATGCTGCTGTTGTTGCTGGTACTGCTGCTGCTGGTGGGTGTGGACGTGTTGGTGTGCATGATGATGCTGACAAGACTGCTGACCGGTGCACGCGCCGCTGACATGTGCCGCCATGCCGGCGCTGCACTCCACATTTGGCACATTGTTCGGATTGAGCGGCTGCGTGGAAGACTGTGTGGCGCCAGATGCACCGCCACCACTGCCGCCACCCACGCCGCTCCCCATGCCAGGCGCATTTATATTCAAGTCTTCGCCCAGCCGACTGGCGGTCACCTCGAGGCTGCCACGATTCTGACGATTGTAAAAGACATTGCTGTCGGAGATGACCTGCTGCAGGCCATCGGAGAGGCGACGATTATTGGTGCTGTACTGATCCAAACTGACGGCGCGATTGGAGCTGAAGTGACAGCGATTGGAGTGATAGCCATGTATGTTGCCATATGAATTGCGTATGCGCTGACCACCTCCGCTGCTGCACATCTCACCGATCATGGAGGGGCGCTTCTCACGCGAGGACTTACGCGACGTCGAATGAGAGGATTTCGAGCGATTGCTGCTGCCCTCGGTGTCCACTTTGAACTTGGAAGTCTTCTCGGCGACCTGTAAGAGGAGAGCGATGAGTGAGTGAGTGAGCGTCTTGAAAGGAGACTGGAGCAGCATATTTAAGAGTTAAGTTAGAGGAGCGTACGAGGGGTGTGCCTTTGTCATTATTGTGAATGGCCGAGAAACAATTGAGAAGACATACGAATGGATAGAGCATTTCTTAATACAAATACTTTTAGGCGCTAGACAACTTTCGCGATTGAGATCTTTAGAATTCGTGTGGAATTCGTACATATGTTTGTACACATATTGCGCGCATTTTTTGGTGCCAGGCCTATCGCTCACTTATTATTTACCGGTTTTACTGAGCTATAACGTCCATACTTTTTGACGTTAAAAATATTTTTCAATTATCTAATGGTTGCTTGACTTTCTGGCGTATCTAACTACTTTGCTCTTTAAGGAGTTTATTCTATTGATTTCACAAGAATACTTTTACTGGGGATACAAATACGAAGAAAGACACCTAAAATATGCATACTTTCAGGCGATTAAAATTTTGAATAGTTGACGTTATTATGGCTTATAGAGGATGTGAAAATTTTGCTTTTCTTGATTTGCTTAACACAGTTTCTGCCAAGTATGAAAATGATTATCGGGCTTTTATTTCGGAAATGAACACACTATCCATACTTTCAGGAGCTCAGTACATGCTAAAACACATTTCTCTCGAATGACCATTTGTGTTGCTAGGAGTGCGAAAAAATGTTTTTGCTTTAGGACTCTGCGTTGTAGTGAAGTTAACACTATTCGATGCTTTTAGGCGTGCAACTCATTCTTTCTATATTAGCTTTTAGAACAACTGAGGCAAGCATACTTTTAGGCCATGGACAATTTATTTTTATAAAGTGCTTACTTTTAGGTGGTCAGCGCGTTCTTCTCAACTTTTAATTTACTTTTTATTCACCCAGTTTTACTTTGGAAATTTTTACGAGACATTTTGCTTGCGAACATTGTATACATTTTAGCATAGTTTTTTTTTACCTACTCGCCCTTTCTCTAGTTCTGTGAGCCGAAATTGGAACTCTTTGACTAAAAGTATTCATCCATAGAATTGTATAAAAAAAGGAATTTTTCACCATCTAAGCTTTTACACAATCGGAGCTTTCGATTTTATTTCCAAGACAGCGCTTGGCTTGAATGCAAAAATGAAGAATAAATTACTAAAATATTGCATACTTTTTGGCGTAAAATTTTTGAGATTTTTTGTTTTAACTATAAACGGACTTTGAAGATCGGTACAGTGAATGCTTTTATGGACTGTGTGAGCTAAATACAGTGCATTTAGCAGAAATTTCTTGAGTATACAAATATGTTTTGTTTTCTTTGTGCTTTCAATTTTTGTCTCTTATGTTTGCCAGCGTTTACTTTGATTAAGAAAGCATTGCTCGACTTATTAATTTTTTTTTTAATTATAAATGAACTTTCAACATTGTTGCGATGCTGTTTTTTAGTTTTTTTTTTTTGAAATCTATTAAACAGTTATTTTTGATATGTTTTGAAAATCGATACATCGACCGATAATTAAACGCAATTTGCTATAAATTGCATTAACCACTAAAACATATTAAAGCATGTTATATACGTTTGCAAACTTCTGGGTGCTAAATTAAACGAATGTTTTAGTTGTTTCGGTTTTTTGAACTTTCAAAAGAAGTTGCAGGTTATTAGAATGTTTTTTTTTACTGATTCAACCAACTGCAACTCGTTTTGCAGAAAAACTTGCATACTTCCAGGAGTTAAATAAACGCTTTTTGAATACCAAAACGCTTTTACTCACTTCAGATTTTAAATTTTTATACTAAATCTTTTCCTGCTATTTGTGGCACTGTTAAAAATATTATGCAGCGCTAAAGTTTAATTTGCTTACTTTTTGGCTTACAAAATTTGCAAATAAACATGAGACCCTTTTGGGCTTTCCGTCTATAAAAAGACGTAGAAGGTGGTGAAAGAGATTTTTTGAATACAGCTTCATAATCTACAAAGTAAACTGCTAAACACTTGTATACTTTCGGGCGCTACAAAATATTCTTTTTGTTTTTTTGTGTACATAACAGCCTTTTACGGCATCAATATTGCCTATTTTTTTAGGCCTGAATATTTTTCAACAATATTTTTTTATAGCGGATATATAAAATGGTTTTGATTGCCTACTTTTAGGCAGAGGATTTCTTGTTTCATCATTTCAGCGAAATTTTGAGCTATCCGGGCCAAAACCCATATTTTGACTTAATGGCTATGCATCGTCTTGTTGCCTGTAACTATATAAAAAGCACTTCAAAGAAAAAAAAACAATATATATGTTTACTTTCAAGCAGTCTTGCCAGATTTTTTTTTTCAAAAACCGTAAATTTTCCCAAAAAAAAGTATATTTTAGACCAAAAAACCGTTAGCTTCGAAAGCGAAGAGTTTTTAAAAAATTAAGGTTGTCTAATTTTATTAACCTTTAAAAATCGGTTAGCATGGTCACAAGTTATGCGGTAACATACATAAAAAAATATTCCGTCGAATTGATAACTTTCTCCTTTTTGTGACGTCACTTAATGAGATTAAACATTTAAATCACATTTCGTTTTAATGAAATTCAGTTAATTTTTTAAATTTTCAGCCTTGATTCGATACTTCAAATTTGGCACCTCCTGAAGAATTTTTTAAAGAATTCTTTGTATGTAGTAAATACCAGAGCGTACTGGAATTTTCAGTTTATTTTTCACTTTATTCAAATTGATTTGGGATAATATTCTTTTTATATTTGCTCTGGCGACTGGAATGCAAAGGACAGCTGACAACATTTGTTTCAAATGAGGAAATGCTGCTTCTTTATCGTCCCCTTTAATCGCAAAAATTTTTCTTAAAAAAAAAACCGAAAGAGAAATTGCAATTTATCGGAAATTAAAAAAAAAAAAATACAATTTATACCGTAAGCTCGCCCAAAAACCATAATTTAAAGTTAAAACTGTGCGTCTGGCAACGTTGCTTTCAAGCATTTCTCTTACCTCTAAGTAAATAAAGTGTCACTAAATTAGTGCCATATAACTCTCATGCAGGATTTCTACGAAATAATGAGCTATTAAGCGAGTTTAAAAATAAGTAGCATACTTTACGGCTTTTACGAGCGCAAGAGTTTACAATTTCTCAGCAACCCTCATACTCTCTCAGTTTGTGTGCCTTTTTTGTTAGCGAGTGCCCATATCAATTACATAAATTTGCCATTGTACGCCTAGCAGTAAACACCAAATATATGCTTTTACCCCTTTTTTGCCAGCACCCCTTTCAGGCATACTTTTTGGCATATCAACCAGCATAGCTTACAATTACGCAATTTGAGTAACGGATGCTAAGCCCTTAATTTTTAGCTGTCATAATGCTTAAATTAAGCGTTCTAATATGACTTAAGTGACCCCGAAATTATGCAATCATTTTTAATTATACGCAGCACTGGCACACAGCGCAAAATAAAAACAAAAAAACTGTAAAATGTTTGCAAAAAAGGAAACAATTCTAAACTAAGCGCAGGAAGCACTCAGCACCCGTACGCTGCAATCGTACGCGCGCCCGTTATACATATATGCTAAAGCTAGCTAAAAATGCTATGTTAGAGCAAAGAGAAAAGTGTAGCATACTTTTGTGCGACATAACCGCACAATAATTATAATTGTGAAATGTTATAAGCTGTCTGTTAGCACCACTTTCTGCACTTTTATTGTTGTTTGGTTATGCTGTATGAATGGCTTTTTATTAAAAAGGGATTCAAATAAAAATTACAACTACAAAAACAATAACAACAAAAATGTGCGCAAACAAAAAGCCATTAAAATTTACATAGCGTAAGAAATGAAGCATAAAACAAGGTTGCATAGTCACCATGCACAACAAGCAGAACACGAATTAATTACACGCTGGCCCATAAAAATATGCAACAATATTTAACTCACGTCTCAACGCACACACACTCACACTCACACGCACGCACACAGACAGGCAGTCGGACATTGTTTGCTACGCCATTGCACCGGCTGTCAGTCAGCCTCGCGACCAGCCGTCCAACCGCAAGCTCAGCCTCGCCACTAAGTACTCAGCTTGTTTGGAGAGCGCGTAGTTGGAGGCGAGCTGCCCGCGCTTAATCATTGTAAATTAAAATAAAAAGCTGTAAGTTGTAAGTATTTACAAGCGCCTCGCCGTCGGCTCAAAAAGGATTAGCGCACGGTCGTGCCATATTTTTGAGCGCATCGCTGGCTTTACTGTTATTAAGCATACTCAATTGTTTTTGTTGTTGTTGCTTCAGCTTTTGTTATTCGTATTTTTGTTGTTTGTATTCAGGCTTGTAATGCCAAGCGAATTGTCATAAAGATAAAGTTTCAGACAATAGCGCAGTGGCGCCCGTAAGTAGGCAATGCAAATTCAAATAAACAATAAATAAATGCTGATGTTTCATAAGTCTTGACTTTTCTACTTTGAAAAATAAGTTGACCGAGTGCTTTATGTGGGTGGGATAATACGATGTAATTTGAATTGAAATAATTGTAAAACAAGCGGTGGTAAAATAATGGAACGGAAGTGTTGAAATTAAGAGAGTTATAAGCGCATAGTTTTTATAAAATTTTAATGGAAAGTTTATTACTCAATCTGAAAGAGTATCTAGGTATGAAACAGCTCTGGAAGTCGACAGCGTAAAATATGACTAGAGCTTTAGTGGGGTATGTGCTCTTGAGCATCTTATAGTTGAAGGCTGACAGACGAAAATGTTCATCGAAAAATCGAATGCAAATGCAAATTCTATGAAGAGCGATAACGACAAAACTTTCGACCAAATCAATAAAAGCAAGTGATAATTATATCGATAACACTTTCAATGAAACCAATAACAACAATCGATAGCGATATCGATAAATAATTTCTATACACGCATTGAAAACAATAGCAAAAGCTATAACCACAAGAAAACTAAAATATTATCGCTAACTCTCAGGGAACAAAAATAACCATTAAATATCAAGATTCTTATCTACAGATCATTGCAAAATCGTTATTTTTTAATTTTAATTCGTTAAATTTGGACTTCTATTTCAGACTAACCTCTAAATTTGATTTTAAATTTTTTGGATAAAATCTAATCGTTATCTATATTGGAGACCGCATTTTCATTACCGAATTAAATCATTTGTGATCTAAAAAATTAAATTTGAAGATGGCGGTTATAATATGACAAAAAATTAAAATTAAAAATTACGAAAAAAAATTATCGAAAAAATATAAATTCAAAAACAACGATTATTCTTAATTGAAAAAATAAAGGTCATAATATAACGGCTAAATTTGATCATAAAAGGCCAATTTCAATGGCTAACCTATGATTTATATTATAGGGATCATAACCGTTAAGGTTAAGGTTAAATACATACTACATACATGAAACGATATCAATAACGATAACAATATTCGATAGCACTTTGGCTACAGACAACCAAATATTTATCGATAGTCCTGAAAACAAGTAAAATTGTATCGATAACTACAGCGTTAACAACAACAACAAATAGAAAAATATCGATATCGTTAAAGACATGATTCTATTGAATAACAAAGAAGATAAATAAAAATATATATTTATAGATATAACAGCCATATATATATATTGATATTTATCGAATTCGAAAGGTGACAATAGTAATACCGATAGTGATAAAGACATAGACGATATTAAGGCAAACGATATCATTTCGATAACTAAAACCATCAAAATAACAATACCTATTACTTTATTGATAGAGCCAAAGGTACAGATAACAAAAAAAAAAACATATAAAACTAGCACGGCTAGAAAAGTTACATCGTTTAACAAAACGGTATCTACAATGTTAACGATAACAGTATTGATAATTGTGACACTACCAACTTTAACGCCAAATATAATATACAGTTACGGAAGTAACACCGAAAATGCTATCGATAACGATTAATAAAATTATAGTACCGATAAAGATATGTATAAAAAACAACGACGAAGGGAAATAAAACGATAACAATAGCAATCATCAAATCGATAACAGTAACGTTAACAAAATCGATAGAAAGATAGATAACAAACCAAAAACCTGAAGGTAGCAGCTTTTAAATAAAGGTTTAGGAGAAAAACTTTGCAAAAAAAGAAAAAAATACCATGACGAACTAATAAGACCAACCGAAATCTAGGTTCGAATCGCTTTTTCTCTCCGGCGTGATTAATGTATTTTTTATTTGAATTAATTCAAGAATGTTATCTCTATTAGAAGCTCAATTTAAGATCTAATTTAATAGGTGTTTAACCAATTTTACCGTTTAAATGGAGATGATTTTCTGTGGTAACACTAAGATCTGGAGTATGCAGTTTTGTAGCTCACTCAATTTTATTATAATAAAATGCAAGTTTTAAGTGGCTATAATCTACCGCTGATTTTTGAGGATTTTTATTGCTGATGATGTTGCTAATTTTCTGAAATTGAGTTATGTAACTACAAAACTGCATATTCAAAAAAATTCAAATTTTTTTTAAGTTTAAAATTTGTCAAATTTTTCTAAATTTTGTAAAAACTCTGAATCATTAATTTATATGCCATTTGATGCGGAATGAACTATAGTTCTATTAAAAATTAACGAAATTAAAATTATGGCGAAAAACGTTGCAAATTAAAAAAAAAAACACTGTACGGAAACATATTGTGGTTAGTGTATTTCTCTTTTTTTATTATAGTTATTACGTGGGGAATACTTGCACGGCGACCTAAGAAGATCTATTGTGCTAAACCCTTATTGTAATCACTCCCACCTTAGGCTCAGAAGTTAGGCATCTTGGAAGGTGCCATGCTTCAAATTTTGGATGGAGAGGACAATCGTTGCCCAAGCTGTGTCAGTCTGGTAATGGGCAGTCACATAAATAGAATATGCTCTGAGCTTTTCTCCACCAGCCCACAAAACCTGCAGTCCGCCTCTACAGAAGTGGGCAGCTCCTAAATAATTCTGTAGTGTATTCTTTAGATATACCGCAGAACGGCTCCGGACCATGCATGTGCATTTGGGCTACACGCTTTGCGAGACAGTCAGTCCTTTTGTTGGCAGATTTTTCTGGAATATTAGTCCAAGTACGCCTGCATGCCTGTATGCGCGTCGTCCATCTATATACCATACTTGGGACCCTTCATCAATCATAGTTATTAGCGCTACACAGCAGTCTCTTGTAGGAAATCTGAACTTTTAGCGTTAGTTGAAGGATAACTTCGGTAGCATGAGGTCCGTCAACTTGATAGCGGGATCATCCAGGAATTGCTTGAGAACTTTCAAAAAACCCCGAAGATCTCCACTTTTCATGCTGATCGTATTGGGCAAGCCATAGGGCGCTCCAGCAGGCCTCTTTTTCAATGAGAATATACAAAGGAGGGATGCCAGTAATGACACCAATCACATATTCAACAACGGGTTTTATTACCGTATTGAAAGACCAATACTCTGCTATTATAGGCACATAAAATATATATGGATGTTTATATTGTATTTTGGCAATAATATGGGTATACGTTTGAACTTGCGAATCAGGTATATTTAGACCTTCGTTATAAGAAAGAAAATGAGTCTTTTATTAGAGAGATGATGCGAAGCTTCTGAAAAGTTTGAGGACACGAAAAATAGTCAAAATCTGAGGAGAGCTACGAGCAACCGAAAACATTCATCTACGAGAACGAGAATAGGGACTTTTTAAACTTTTATTATCAGAGTTGCTGAAATATTGTTGGTTTCCTCAATTTTAAGAAAAGTGTGCATTGATTCGTATAAAAGATCTAGCAAAACATCGCGAAAGAGTAAAAGAATGACATTAGAACTTGGGTAATTGTACAAAATATTTCAGGGATTTATTTCTTCCATTTAAGAGCTCCATCCTTAGGCGATTCATGAGTCCAGCTTTTATTTAGTTATTCATCTACTCAAACTCTGCGAATCCAGAATCCACTAGGAAAAAAAGTTACAAATTTGCTTTCGTACGACTTATTGGCTCCTATCCTACCCGAGATTTTTTTTGGCACATGTGTGTGATACCCTTTAGATATGCTGCTCCATTACTAAAAAAAAATTACATACACTCTTTCTTTAGAGTACGAAATTCCCAACAATAAATACGCCCCCCCTCATACCGAGTATTTACTTACATCCACTTCCGTAGCCGTTTCCGAATCGCCACTCTCACTACCCTCCGGCAAATCGTGCAGTTCAGCTGCCAAACATTGCGGTTCATCGACGGATGTGCGTGAAGCGGATTTCTGTGATGGTATACTCCGGCGGGACTTCACACTAATGCCCGATTGTGAGCGTGGCATTTGTGGTGAAATACTGCCGCCAGAGTTGGTGCCACCACTGCCGGAGCCGCCACCACCGGCGCCAGCTGTGGTAGTTGTGCTGGTGCCCGTTGAGGCGGTGCTAGCACCTGCTGCACCCTGACCATTCGCACCAGCCGCTGGACTATGAGCATGTGTACCGCCCACAGCAGTTGTGCTGCCGCCACCATCCGAGGCAGCGCTAATATTGTCCGATGCGGCCATGGAGGCGGCGTCGGCGACAGATTTGCGCGATTTATTTTGAGCATCATTTAAGCGTCTGTGAAGCAAGATTGAGAGTTAGAGCAATGAGCAAAATAGTAACTTAAAAATGGGAGAGCGAGAGAGAGAGAGAGAGAGCGATAAACGACTCAAACTCACCTATAGTAGTCGAGCGCTATGCGCACTGGTATTATAATCAATTCAATCACTTCAGGCACCAAATCGCCCAAGGCTTCGAAGAGCGGTAATAGCACCAAACCGATGAAACGCACCTGTGAACCGGGCTTGCTAACCTTATCCGGATCCATGAAGGGTGTGACGGGCAGTCCTTCAGACTTTTCGGCTGCGCTTTGTGCGAAAAATTCCTGTAACAGGCGATCAAGCCAAGGTTCGGCGACATCCATGGGACGCGCTTCGTTTGAGATGTCTGCCACTTTGATGAGCACCATGCAGAGCTGTTAACGGGAAAGACAGGGAAAACGAGAAGGGAAAGTGAGATGATGAGACATAAAGCCAAATGTAAATAATCTGATGAACTGAACTCCTTAAAGTATACTACAAATTACGAAAATTATTAAACTGAAAAATCAATAAAAATTCTTATCCAGCAAAAGTAAGCTACAAATAGTAAAACTTGTTTGTTTTTTTTCAGCTCACCAAATTGATGTGCGCACGATTTGAGTAATCGAATATGGGTGTAATCTCTTTGAACTGTGTTAGTATCTCATTGTGACGCGCCATGTCCGTGGCCAAAATGCAACGTATGATACCCTCACGTATTTCTCTGTAATTGAAAACCGAAAAGAGCAAACGTACATGAACATAGAGTAATATAATTACACAATACAAAAGGAGGAAAAGAAATTCCAGAAAATTCTAAAAGTGATATTTGCATTTTGTAATGGAACCGCTGCAAGGGATTTTGTATGACATTTTCCAAGGCCAGCAAATTTTCCACAACTCGTTATTTTCACAACTCAAAATTAGACAGAAGAATATTTTTCAACATATTTTTGTACCATCAAAGAGAAAATTAAAGCCACAAATAGCTTTGTGAGCAGCCAAACACCTGCCATTTACTTCAATTGTGTCATAACTCAAAAATAAAACCAAACTCGAGCAAAAAGGCTTTAAAGTTTTGAATTTACATACACTCCCATAGTAAAAATGGATACATATTTTGTTCTAGTGAGCTACTGGTAATCAATACATCTATGAAATTTCTCTACAACATAGAAAAAGAAGAGGCGGTAATTTCTAAGTACTTAACCTAATATTTTTACTTTTGGGATTATGCCACTATTGAAATAAATGTGTTTGAAAACTGGAAAAAGGTTTAACTATTATCCAAATATTTTACATTTAAAACCTCGTCAAAACTCAATATCATTCCAAAAATTCAAAATATTCCACTTCTTATATGAAAAAGACTTAAACTTAAGCCAAAAATTAAAATATTTATTTAATGAAATTCCTCTTTTTAATTACAAAGAATTAGATCATATTCTAAAAAGTGAAATTTTTTCATTTCATTGAAGCCAAGCTTTTTGTCAATGTATTAAAAATATTTAGGTTTTATATTTTCATATGCAAGTAAAGATTGGTACGGTAGCATATTTTAAAAAATATTGTTTTCATTTGAGTATTCTTAAAGATATTGGTGTGATAATTTTGTAGGCACAAAAATTAGGTCGTGCTCCGAAAAAAATAAATTGTTTTTATTTTCACTAAAATATCGTTAATTAAGCGATTCTTTTTTAAGTTTTAAGTTAAAATGAAAAAAAAGTTAATTAAAAAAATTAAATATTTTCATATAAAAGAATTTAGTGCTGCGTGAGTAAAAAGGCATTACTTTAGAACTGAATTTTTTTTAATTTCTAAAAAAAATCAACTAAGTAAATTGTAAATATTGCGATATATTCAGTAAGTTTTTATATATATATCAAATTTTGTTTTTTCCGACCAGAAAATACTTCCATAAGAAAACTTTCGTTGAAAATGAATATTTTTTTCCAAACGCAAAGACTTGCGTTTCGACGATTTAAATTTTTGTAATTTTTATTCAATTCAATATAAAAATTTTCGAATTATATTCCTAAACAAATTTTAATCCGAATACAAGAAAATAGTTAATTTTAATTTTTTTTTTAACTAAAAAATATGTCTATAAGAATACACATTTCCCAAAAATTGGCTTTTCAAATTTTTTTTGGATGTCCTTTAATTTTCCGTTAATGTTGTGCTACATATATGCTACTCAGAATGTAATTCTAATCTAGTATAATTTTCTTTTTATTTATTTAAGTACTAGTCTACAGAAAAATTTTTTCTTATAGACAAATGAGATAACTACAGACTAAAAAATACTTCCATAAAATTTCATACCAAAAGCTTATTTTTCTAAAATAAAAATTAATCCCCTACCAAAAATTTAAAATTTTGTTAAAAACTTCCATGTATGTAATTTTAGAAAAATGATTATTTTTAAAATTTACAAAATTATAAAATAAAATAAAATTTATTTTTAAAAATTACAGCCGAGGAGATACTCGTTTAGCGATTTTCTCGATTTCCATTCCCTCAAAAGTGAAACAACTTGCACTGTATATCTTTCAACTTAACTAAATTTTCGTATGCTAAGTTTCCTTAATTTTCTTCAATATTTATATTTCTTGCACCTATGAAATTATACTACGTTAAGCAACTTTTTGAAAGCATATTCATGACGGTTGCTCAAGTCATAAAAAGTTGACCAAAGCAGTCAAGCAAAAAGCGAGAGAAAATAATGGGGAAAAAATAAAAGCAATTTCTCATGCGCGCACACACACACACACACACATTGAAACAGCGGTCATGAATGCAAAAGTTTTAATTACATTTTCGTACAACTTGACCCACATCACATTGTACGCTCTCGTAAGTTACTTAGTTGTTTGACTGGCGTTAAATTTGTCTACATTGTATTTAATTTTTTGCATTGTTCGTCACTTTTCTGTTTAAAGTTTTCCACTTTGTCGCTTTTTAGTATTTAAATTGTTTTTCGTAGTATTGTTTTGTTTTGACTTCCTTTTTATTTTATTTATTTTTTGTTTTTGTATTAAAACTGCTTACGTTCGCTCCCTTATAATTTGCTGCCTTTCATTGGCTTCCTTCAAATTATGTTCTAAACAAATGTTAATTGTAAGGCAATCGGTATAATTACCTCAAAAAACTGTGCGCCTTCTGCTTTTGTTTTGTCCTTTAATAGCATTTGATTGTTATGCTGTATACATAAATATATAACTCATACATAAGTATTTGTAAAACATACTTAATTGATGGATGACGGGGCGTATGAGTGGCCACTATAGTGAATGACAAATATAAAACCAAAATAAATCTTTCTGGCTATATATTTTCCTATCCATGACTAATTGCAGCCTCTACCAGCTATGCAGCCTAAATTTAGGCTATCAAAAATATGAAACATATTTTTAGTGGTGGTTTTAGTTAAGCACGTGAGTGCCGGTCAAGCGTTGTCATATGACACCATTTAAAGCTATAAAATGCCTGTGCGCATGTACAAGCACATATATAAAAAATATTCAAACTCACATATGTATGTACATCTGCCAACACAGCCACAAGCAAACGTAACACAAAACCAAAATATTCATAGCGACGGTGCATGGCCGCAAAAAGGTGCTGGTATGCAGTAAAAAAACGTTCGAAAAAAAGAAACCAAACCTATGCACACATTTTGTTTGTGGCTAATACACATACGCACACATGCACCATATATACATGCGTAAAAATCTATGCGTACATAGGCAGCTTCACTAACAGTCATATCAACTGAATATTCTAGCTCGGCGGCTACGGCTACATGCGGTATGTGTAACATTTAATTAAGTGTTGAGCCGGCGGCCAGGTGAATTGTAGCAGCTTCAGCTTCGGCAGCACAAAAAAAGCATACAGATGTACATACATATAAGCCACGGCTATGTACTTGCTTTGACAGGTGTGAGTTTCACCACTACCACCATGACCAACACCCAGCCATAACAGTTTATAAGTGATGAGCGCAGCGTGTGCGCTTATTTAGTACTCGTAATTAAAATTTTTTACTATGTAATATAAATCGTTGTCGAGCGTGTAAAATGGGGAGTGGAGTTTTCGCTGTGAGTTTACGCTTTGAAATTAATGTATTTGCATACACATGTTTTCCTGTATGTGCGCTTACTAATGAGATGCAAAGCTTTGATGCGATAATTTTTCGAAAAAAATATACATATATATATTTTTTTACGCTCTATGGTTTTGATGAAATTTCGAGATATCTGATATATTAAATGGAAGGAGAAAATTTGATAAAACTAAAATTTAAGAGGAAAAAGTAATTTAAATTCATTATGAGGTATTGAGAAAATATGTGAGAAAAATTAAAAATTAGAAAAATAATCAATAAAATAACAAGCAGTTTTTAAGCGAAAAACAAAAACCGACTTTAATCTCATACAAAAATTTAGGAGAACCGTTGATTTCCTCAATTTCCAAATTGTAATGGGAGTAACCAAGTGGCCAAAAGTTATGCGGCAACTTAAATAAAAAAAAGAATTTTCCGTCGCATTGAAAACCTCCACCTTTGTTTGAAGTCTGAAGTCGGTTAAAAACACGGAAAAAAAATTAAAAAAAAATTTAACTAAATAAATACATAACAAGATGAAACAGAAAAGGATACATAAAACAAAAAGGAAATGAAAAATGAAATAAGTAAGCAAAAATACAACCGAATTTTTTGCTCATCAAAACTGAACCAATTTAGTATGGGACCACCCTGGTCCAATTTATTCGGCAACACGTATAAAAAAATATTTCGATGAATTGATAATTTCCTCCTTTTCGGTTAATAAAAACAATATATCACATGGAAATTTTGAGGTAAAATAAATATTATGAATAAAACGAAAATAAAACAAAATTTTAAAAATAAATATTTTATCATACAAAAATTTTCCTAATTCTAAGAAAATGCAAGAGAAGATTAAAAACGAAATAAAGTAAAATAAATAAAATAAAACGAAGGAAAATTTAGTAAACTAGAAATATAAAATAAAGTCATTTTAAATTAAATAAGACGGAAAAAGATGCATAAATAAAACAAAAAATTAATAAAAATTCAATAAAAGAATTTAATAAAATTGCACGAGAAAATGGTCAGGTAATATAATTAAAAAAATGTTAGATATATAATAAAATTAATAAAAATATATATTAAAAAAAACCTGTTGTCAAAAAAATTATAAACAATCTAGAATTAGAAAAGTATTTTTAGCAAACGACGAGAGAAATAATTAAAAAAAAATATTTATAAATCAAAATATAAAATTATGGTAAAATAAAGTAAAGTCAAATAAATTCAAATAAAATAAAATGAAGTAATATAAAGCAGAACTAAATAATATAAAGTAAAATAAATTATAGCAAAATAAAATAAAGCAAACTAAAAGAAAGAAAAATCAAATAATAAAGGTAAAATAAAAAAATTGTGTCCAAATTACAGAGCCAGAAAAATTAATTTAAGAAGATGGTGAGAGAAAACTCTTTAAAAATACAAGAAAAGAGATCAAATTAACTTTGAAATAAGATAAAATGAATTAAGAATTTATGAAACAAAAAAAGTTAATTATTATTAAAACTAAAAATTTAAATAAGATAAAGAAAAAAATGTATCAAATACTTTATAACTAAAATAATTTCTTAAGAAAATTGTAAAATCTTTTTTGAATAACATGACTTAATATA